ACTATTACCATAAAGTTAAGTCTGGGAAGTTCTGTACCATTGGTAACCTCCCTTTGACAAATCCTGCAGGACCTATAATGGCAGTTTTTCGACAGCTAAAAATTTATGTAGATATTGTTTCTTAATTCTTGTTTCATAATTATTAAAATTTAAGCATTTTTCATTCAATTGACAGATAAACTTCCTATAATTAGATACCAGAATGTCATGAATTATGTCCAACTATGCAAGATAAGGGATCTATGATGTAAATACCTATCATGTACCAAACTTTCTATATGAGTTGTAACATTTAATTCTCTCTCTTTTTTAAAAGATTATATATTTGAAAGAGAGTGCACGAGAGAGAGCAAGGGCAAGGGGGGAGTGGGGAGGGGCAGAGGGAGAGGGAGAAGCAGATGCCCTGCTGAATAGGGAGCCCGATGTGGGACTCGATCCCAGGACCCCAGGAACACGACCCGAGCTGAAGTAGACGCCTAACAGACTGAGACACCCAGGCGCCCCAACATTTAATTCTCATAACAATCTCCACAATCGTTATTTTTATCAAGTATTCTTTTTCTTCTTATTGGTTTTATGTTACTAGTTCAGTGGTTGCTTCCATGATTCTGACCTCAACCTCTCAGTATCATTCCACATCTGACCACTGACGTTCAGTGACAAAACCCTTTTTGCAACACGTTCTTCTCTTAAACAGCCTGACTCTACAATCTCCCGGAAATGTTCTTATGCTAGGACGCTCCTCTGCTGGTTCACGAGGCCCATGCTGGGTTTGCTTTCTGTCGCTGTCTACACATCACTCCTAAGCAAACTCACCAGCTCCCATTAAATGCCAGCTTGGTTTTCTGAATATGGTCCCTGGATGAGAAGTATCGGCATCAGCTGGGAAATTATTAGAAAAGGAAATTATTGGGTCCTCCTAGATGAGAAGAATCAGAAATTGAGAGTGGGCCCAGCAACTAGTGCTTTTACAAGCTCTGTAGGTTCCTTTGATGCACTCTGAAGTTTGGAAACCAGAGCTATAGATTAGGGTTTTTCATATTGCAGGCTGAGACTTGGTAGTCAAGAAATAAACTGAGCTGCAAACAGCATTTTAAAAAATGAAACAGAATAAAAAAAAATAAAGTTTTTCATATGTTATAAAAGTAAGTAATATTTTGTGAAACCTTTGTTTCAATTATAAATGCACTAAGTGTGTGTGTACACATCTATACTTGATTGTAAAGATTTTATTTATTTATTTGACAGAGAGAGAGATAGCGAGAGAGGGAACACAAGCAGGGGGAGTGGGAGAGGGAGAAGCAGGCTTCCTGCTGAGCAGGGAGCCCAATGCGGGGTCGATCCCAGGACCCTGGGATCATAACCTGAGCCGAAGGCAGACGCTTAATGACTGAGCTACCCAGATGCCCTTATACTTGACTGTTAAGTAAAATATAGGTTACTATGGATCACAATCTGAAAAAAAAAAAAAAAATCTGATCTATAGGACTATATAAGCCAGCTCTTTGATTCCTTCTTGTCACTTTGGTCTTATCTTGGCCTTTCTTTCCCATTCTACTTAATGTTGACTCCTCCAAAGCATTTATTCTCACACTATGTTGATTATTTTATTTAGACTATTTATCAATATTTTAACTATCTTATTGTTTATAATCTTTCTCTCCCACTAGAATATAAGCTAATAGGAAGAGAGATCTTATTCCCCGCTATGTTCCTAATACCTAGAACAATGTCTGCCCACCTATAATATCCACTCAATAAACATTTTATGGCAGGATGAAGTTTATGACTAAGTAACTTAGCAAAGCTCACCTAAGTTAAATTATTTTTTAAAGATTTTATTCATTTATTCATGAGAGACAGAAAGAGAGAGGCAGAAGGAGAAGCAGGCTCCCCACTGAGCAGGGAGCCCAATGCAGGTCTCAATCCCAGGACCCCAGGATCACGACCTGAGCCGAAGGCAGACACTTAACTGACTGAGCCATCCAGGTGCCCCAGATTTTAACTATACTTTAAAATCCTATGTGTCTCATGTCTGTGATCTCTCTAATGCAATCACCACTTCCTGGTGGTCCTAAGGCTTGGATTCCAGCCATCCACTTCACAGTCCTGGACCATACTTAGTTTGGGACAATAAGAATCTGGTAAGACAGTGAACCAATCTACTCTTAGTTTTAGATGGAGGAACAGAGTAGTCATTTTATGAGATTAAAAAGCCTTGGGATCCATTTCACAAAGAAATATAAGAAAGCTAGAGGCTTTAGGCTCACCTACATTTTAAATGTGAACTATCTAACACCCCATACAGTTCAAACTCTTCTGCAGAAAGATGAACAGTGAATTCAGGGTGCCTGGGTGGCTCAGTTGGTTGGGCGACTGCCTTCAGCTCGGGTCATGATCCCAGGGTCCTGAGATCGAGTCCCGCATCGGGCTCCCTGCTCTGCGGGGAGCCTGCTTCTCCCTCTCCCACTCCCCCTGCTTGTGTTCCCTCTCTCGCTGTGTCTCTCTCTGTCAAATAAATAAATAAAATCTTAAAAAAAAAAAAAAAGATGAACAGTGAATTCAATGGGAAGGGAAAAGTATGCTGAGAAGGAAAAAATTAGAGAGCAAAACAAATGGGAAGTCATATTCACAGCCCAAATATATTTGCTGGAGAATCTGTGAAATGTTATGGCTATAAGATGATTTAGGAATTAGAAGTCTTTTTCTGCATGCAGTGCAAATCGGTGCCTTCCTGAACCCCACTAATGCTGTGAATTTGTTTGTGCACATGTGTGAACACACATGTACATGACTGGAACTTGGGGGAGGGTGCTGCTCTTCTATCTTAAGGCCTCAAAGTGATATTCACTAGATAACCCCAAGCACTTTGTACCTACTTCTGCCATAGTAAATGAGACTTAAGTTAACGGGAAGTATAGAAGAAGAGTACAGGCTCTGGAGTCAGAGAGTCTGGGTTTAAATCACATTTCTACTACTTACCGGCTATATAACTTTGAACATATTCCTTAATTTTTCTGAGCCTCAGTTTATTTGTATAATTAGAGATCTCACAGGTTAGTATATCGATTGGGTTAATAATACATAAAGGCCCGGCACATCGATACCAGAGTGCTTACTAGATATCACAATCCTTATACCAAACTCTTCAAATCCTTTTCTCCTCAGATTCTAACAACCCTATGAGGAAGATTATTACAAGACTTCCCTTCCCCTATTACAGATGAGCAAGTGTGAGCCATGAAGGGGTTAACTTGTCCATGAATTCACAACTAAATAGAACTAGGATTAGAACATAGTCTTAGTCACATGCCTAAGCCAGATTTCCTAACAACTATGCAAATATGGGCATTCTAGCATCCCAGAAATTATGAATAACCAATGAGATATCTCCACTCAGCTGCAGCTGTCCTAATACCTGTATCAGAACAAGGGCTTGTGTTCCATGTGCGCACACACCTATCAATCATCTCCGTCATGTGTAACTCTCCAAAAGAGGTGGAGAAACAAGGCACTACAGCACATTGATCAAATTTTGTTCCCTTCTAGGTTAGTGACCCCAACAAGAAAAAAGGAGCTATGTTTTAATTCTTTCATAACAGATTTACTTAACACTGTTGGGAAAAAAGCAGTCGGCTTTCAACAGAGATCTGCTGAATTAATGAAGAAATAATGCACCAGAAAGGGCTGTATAAAATCAAACTGCAAATCAATTTTTTATAAAGCCAACTAAATAATTATAAACATTATCTATTTATATTCAAATTTATATACATACTACTGTATTTAGAAAAGTATCAAGTTGGGGCGCCTGGGTGGCTCAGTTGGTTAACCGACTGCCTTTGGCTCAGGTCACGATCCTGGAGTCCCGGGATCGAGTCCCGCATCGGGCTCCCTGTTTGGCAGGGAGTCTGCTTCTCCCTCTGACCCTCCTCCCTCTCATGCTCTCTG